CTGCCCGGCGCGGCGCGGCCCGGCGGTTGCTTGGTGGGGGCCCCGGGGGCATATTACACAGCAACACTGAGGTGTCTTATGTACGTCTGGAAGGGCGCCTCGACCTGTAACCGCCTGGCTGTGCACATGGCAGGGATGGGGATGTTGCTCTCCCCTTGTGACGATAGTTTCAGGCCGACCCATCCAGTGTGTGCAGCAGGCGTTGCTGCTGAGCTCCTTATCATAACGGACGCACCCCAGAACATGGCATTGCGTCCTCTGGGCTGAAACCTTAGAAGGGGTGGTTATTGGCAGGAAGGGCGGCCGGGTGGCTTCCAATGCCATCCAATTCTACCGCTACTAGTATCCTGCCAGCGGCTTCCATACACACATCCTCAACTGCCCTGCAACGACAGCCGGGACACGATCAAAGATCACGATCCAGTACTTTTCATAACTGAATCTAATTCATCCAGTACCAATTACATACGGGTGATTTGTCAGGCCCTATCCGAAGGCGCAACACAGTGGTGTCGGAGCCAAGGCTTGCTGAACACTGGCCGTCTCAGCTTTGTGAGCAGCAGGCACAGGTAAAACATTACGATGAATCCTTCTTTGGATCCCTGCCGCACTGGGAAGGGTTGTGCAGCGCATACGCACAGCGGACGCGGGTCGCGGCGTCAGCAGGCGCATCTGGTCATTCGCGCTGGAGGGACCCTGCATCTCACGCCTGGTGCAAGCGAGTGCATTGGAGCACGGCGGCTGTGGCCCCTGCAACATTCCTCAATCAGCAACGGCGAGCGGCGTTGTCTCGCGTCCGGCGTGTCGGGGGTTCCCCTGAAGCTGCGACTCTGCCTGTGGGGGCAGCAGCCCCCATGCGGGTCTTCGCCTGCCCCTAAAAGCGATATGGGAGCAGTCACGCTTGCATGCACGCTTCAGTCTGCACACTGCACACTCCCTGCGCCAACTCCACGCACGCGCCCACGACACCAATCAGGCCCTGCAACCCAATTGCTGAGTCCCTGGGGAGCCCTTTGCCGAAGGAGCTCAGATGTCGAGCGCCATCGGGAGGGGGGCCTCTGTTGGGGGCCTCATCCTGTTCGGCACCACCACATCCCTCTTTGCTAAGATTGGTGGGTGGGGGGCAGCAAGCCTGCATTCGCAGCAGCCGCTTCTGCCTCCGCACGCATCACCCCTCCGCCCTACCCTAGAACTGGGGGGGTGCTGGGAGCAGAGTGCTGACCTGTATGCAGCATAACACGACACCTCGTCGGTGTGCATGGCGTTGGCCAGTGAGGAGGCGCGCCCTGGCGCACCTCGTGCCGTTGCCCTCCCTTCTCACCACCTCATCATGACACGCGCACACGCGTGCGCGCGTGTGCTCACGCACGCGCGCACGCACGCACGTGCACACACACACACACACACACACACACACACACACACACACATGCACACGCACACGCACACGGACGCACGCACGCACGCACACCACGGGCTCGCCCTTACCCTTACCCTTGCGCGCATGACCCTATACAGTGTATGAGCTGGAGTCTGTCGGCCGTGATGGTCAGCCCAAGCTTTTCCAGAAGCCCTGGGCCATGACCCTCTCCATGTTCCTAGGTGGGTAACTTTGTGGGTGGATGGCTGGGTGGGTGGATGGCTGGGTGGGTGGATGGCTGGGTGGGCAGGTGGGTGGCTAGGGCTGGAGGGATGCTGTGGACGGCTGAGAGGGGTTTCGAAAGTGAGCCTTCACCAGCGGCGGTTTTGAAATCTGATGGACAAGGGGGCTGCGCTGCAAGGGGCTCATCCATTGGCTCCCACATCCAGCAGCAGATCGTGGGCTTGGGCTGCAAATGGATGGGCAGAAGTGTCGGCGCTGATGCGGTTGGCTAGCGACCTGGATTGGGCCCATCCATAGAAATAGAGTCTATTTTGGGTCTGGCGTAATCGCACCGCTGCATCCCTCTTTGTTTGCCAGGGCTGGTCCCCACCACCCCGCCCTGCCCCACTGCGGCCCCCAACCCCCATGGCCACACCACCAGGCATGACCCTGTGCCTTCCGCTGGCGTACTACCGGGAACACCGCCAGCGAAAGGAGCAGCAGAGCAAGGGCTCACTGAGCGTGCCGCTCATAGGGGCGCACCAGGTGCGCCTCCTTGCACGATGGAGTGCTCTCAAACAAAGGGCAACTTGCGAGAGGCTGATTGTGCGCTGCAGCGCCCACGAACTCCGTCCGCCTGTTGCAGACAGGCAGGCGGCTTCAAGGCTTCTGTTATACAGGGTTACTTGCAGACTGCTTGCAAAATGGCCAGTTGTACGCGGACCTTCCTGGGCGCGGCCTCTCCAACACATAGCCTCACCCACCCAAACCGTCACCCCGCCCGCGCCCCGCCAGGCCGCCGCCCCCTCCGAGCCGCCGCCCGTCGCCAAGGGCAGCCTCAAGGAGACGCTGCTGCTGTGCGTCCCCTCCTTCTTCGACCTCGTGGCCACCGTGCTAATGAACATCGGCCTGCTGTCCGTGACCGCCAGCGTCTACCAGATGATGCGCGGCGCAGAGATGCTCTTTGCCGCGGCGTTCGCGGTGGCGTTCCTGCACCGCCACCTGAACCGGTGGCATGGCCTCGGGATCGCGTTCTGCGTGGTGGGTCGAGCGGCCTAGGGATGTGGGGAGGGACGAGGTTGCTTTGGGAGGGTTGGGGCGCTGAACGGAGTGTATGACTCATTTGGTCCATTTAGATACAAGCACCGAAAGCGACTGTGAGCAGCACGGCAAGCCGCGGCTCCGCTGCCCGCATCATCTCGCGCACATGGTGCAGCGGCACCGACGATTGCGTGCACACAAGCATATGTGCTGCCTTGTGTCCTTGCTTCGGCTGCATCCTCCCTGATTGAGAGCATGTCTCAGACACGGCTTGGCCCCTGATTCCCGCAGATTGGCATCGGCTTGGTCGGCATGTCCAGCGTGCTGGGTGGCGAGGGCAGCAGCACGCACCAAGTTTCTACCCCGCAGATGTTGTTTGGGATCGGCCTCATCATCTTGTCACAAGTGAGGGCCGCCTGGACTTGGTTGGGGGGGCTTCCCGTCAGATCTCAGATGGTTGTGTCAAAGTGCCAGCGAGCATACTGGTCACATGGGCACATCTTACAAATTTGCTGGGCAGCCATGTGAGGGTTCAATGCCTCGGCAACGATGCTACACACACACACACACACACACACACAGCGCGATCATGCGCTCGCTTACATACATGCACCACAACGTATTTACGCACGCACTCTCACGTGCACAGCTTGACAAGCACCGCCTCATTCGCCACGACCAATCACGTGCCCCGCAGGCTGTCCAAGCGGCCCAGCTGACGTTTGAGGACTTCTTCATGGCAGACCTGGTGGGGGCCAGATGACAGGAACAGGGGGCGGGGCATTGCACGCAACTTGCCCGCAGCCACAAGTCAAGGGGTCAAGGATGGACGACCTCTGTCGTGCATTCCCCCTTGAAAACAGCGCCTCCGCCGCCATGTCAACGGGTACGCCCCCCCCCCCCCCGAAATGCGGCCCCCCCATAATGCACAGGACATGGATCCATTGAAAATTGTAGGCTTTGAGGGCGTGTTTGGCAGCGTCATGATGATCGGCGTGATGATGCCCATAGCTTACTTCCTGCCAGGTGGGGGCGGCACCTGCCGTGCAGGGCCCGGTCGACGCCGCTGAATCTGACACCACAGATTTCTTATGCTGTCGATGCAGACTCGGCTTCCAGGGTTGCCTGGACTACCTGCCATTGACGTCACAGGACCACGCATCTGCGTCGCAAGGTTGGCAGCTGACTGGTCGGCGCTTGTGCCAATCGTCGAGTTTGTTGCAAACTCATCACTACCCCGGCCTCATTCGACCTATGTCTCAGGGGAGGAGGGCACCGGCCTTCACGAGGACAGCCTGGACTCCCTGGTCATGATCAAGAACAGCACAGCGCTGCAGGGGGTGCTGGGCACTGACATGTTGGCGCTGCTGCTCTACAACCTGTGAGGGGGCCGGTGGCGCGCGCACGTGTGTGTGTGTGTGTGGATGGGGCTGGAGGTTCCTCGGCTGGGGGGCCTGTGGGTGTGTTTTTCAGGTTGGCCTGGATGGTGTTGGTAGGAGCAAGGGGGACTGCTGCAGTTCCAAACATGTTGGCGCTGCTGATTTACAACCTTCGAGCTGGACTGCTGCAGTTTCAGGGACTTCATTTCATCTTGCAGAGGTCAAATGCGTCAGGCGTTCCAATCCAAATTGGGGGATGACACGTCGACCAGGATTGTTTGAAATTTGTGGTATCCGGCCTCCACCCCAATCATTGATCGAGCTACGTAGGCGTTCCGCCCTGACTTAATGATTGAGATGCCAGCCGTGCATGTATGAACGCCCACCCCAGGGCTCCGCACCGCACAATTTGCTGAGGCCAATCGCGCATGTGCATGGTCCTGTGATGCACCCCTGGCACGCAGCATGTAGCGCGCCCCTCTTCACCACCAACGCACATGTCATGTCTGTGCACATGCCGTGATCGTCAACGCCCATGCCGAGAGCAGCAACTCAGTCCTACTGCACAATCACACACGCGCCTCCTGCTCCACCGGCAACACCACCCACCCGCCCATAGGTCTGGCATGATGGTGACCGGCCACCTGGGGGCCGTCTTCCGTACGGTCCTGGAGACGATGCGCACCCTTTTCGTGTGGCTGGTCGGCCTGCTGCTCTTTTACACGCCCCTGGGCATGGGCCGCCTGGGGGAGAAGTGGACAGCTTGGTCGCCCCTTCAGGCGCTCGGGTGCGTCGGGCGGGCCGGCCAGGGGCGATTTGAACAAAGATACGAAAAGGGCACTGGGGCACTGCGTATTGTAGCAGGCGCCTGCCTGCTGGGCCGTGCGCACAGAGCGAGTGGGGTGCACCCCCGCTCCGTGCTGTGGGCCCGCGGCGGGCTTGCAGTTTTTCTGTTGTCGTGGATGCTACAGTGGGAGCGCCGCCCCCTGCGCACGGGCGGTGTGGAACTGACGTGGGAAGAGCTGCAGCCGACCTCACTCTCCTAATGTGTTTGGCTTTGCCCCGCGGCCTGTGTTGGTTGTGCTGCATGACCAACCATCTACGTCGGCCAAATAGCCGTCCAGCACCCTCTCAACCAACAAGACAATCCATCTCTTGAACAATTGAATCGACGATAATCCTATCCGCCAACCACAGGTTCGTCGTGCTGGTGGCCGGCACTCTCGTATACGGCAAGGGCGACGAGGCCGCGTCAAAGGGCGACATCGACGCCGCCGCCTCGGGTGACCGCGACGCGCCCGCCGGTTACACCCGGGAAGACCCAGAGGCAGCGGCGGCGCCCCTGCTGCCGGGCATGGACGCCGCCGTCGACGTGCAGAGTGAGCCGACGCTGATCGCCACAGGTCGCTCGGGACCCATCAGCATGCCTGTCGGCATCCGGAGCGCGTCTCCGAGCCAGCGGGGCGGAAGCTTCCGGGCGTCAATGACGATCGCCCAGGGAAGCTACAGGGGCAGCTACACGCTGGTCGGCAGCGGGCCCCGGGGCTTGTCGCTTGACGCGGCCCCGGGCGAGCTGACGGTGAGGGAAACGGCGACGCGGCGCGGCGGCGAGGGCGCTGGCGGCGTGGAGGCTCACAGCACTTGACCTGCGTGGGCTGCCGGTAACCGAGCGGCGAAGTCTTGAGAATGGTCGATGGAATCAAATCAATTTCCTGGGTCGAATTTGCCATTTTTTTTGCTGGATCTTACATGCAAAGCTGGATCTTACAGGCTGATGGTGGATATGCGGGGCTCCGTAAGTTGAGGAGTGCTTGAGGGCGGGGGCAGCAAGCGGATGGCGGCGGCACCACTCAGCAGGGCTGCAAGCGGCGCTCGGGTGGGTTAGCGGCGGGTAGGTTAGCGGCGGTGGCGAGAGGTGGGGCATGGCGTTGGGCTAGGAAAGTGCCAATGGCCGCATCTCTGGGCGCGGCACCCCCCGCTTGGCGCGATGTCGCTCGCGCAACGATGCGGCGGCAATCTCGGCGGCGCCGCCTGCCCCATCGGCAGCGGACTGCAGGGCGCGGGCAAGTGGCTGCAGGCTGGGCGCCCAGTTTTGCACTGCTGAATTCCAGGCGGTGAACGCCTGCTTTCCTACCTTAACAGTGTGCCCGGTTTGGCTGCCCCCCAAAACTAACGCCAGCAGCAGTCAGGTCGGGCCGAGTCCACTTTTGCTAGGTCAAACGTTCCACAACCGAGGCGCTCTTTGCGCACTGCATTTTTAGCGGCTGGAAAGCAAGGGTCGCGGCCACGGCGAGATGGGGCCCCACCCAGATGCCGATTCCCACCAACGGCCCGGTGCAAGCTTGACCCCACCATCCCGAAGCAGAGAGACGGCCAGCTCGTTCAACACGCCCTTGCACCAACCCTCAGCCATCATGTCGGGCCCCCATGCACATGATGAATATGTGTGTATGCTGAGGGCAAACGAAAGCATTGCATTTGCAAAACCACCCGCACTGCAAGCACGACCAAAATCACCCACAGGCAGATACAAACGGGAGACCAAGAGCAAGTACCGCGCCCACAGACGGGCCAACAGCAGCCACTTTGCAGCGGCGCTCCCTCACTGCGCGTCCGTGCCAGCCTGCGCCCAGGGGGCCTTCGTCACACCCAGCCCCCCCGGCTGCTGCTGCCCCCCGCCGGCCCGCAGCCACGGCGCCGCGCCGCCGGCCGCGCCCGGCGCCGGCTGCTGCTGCAGCTGCCCCGCCATGCTCGCCGCGGCCAGGCCGCCGGGCGCGGGCGGCGGGATGTTTGCGTCCGACTCCATCGCCGCGCGCTGCTGCTCGTCGAGGCGCCCCGCAAAAATCCTCGGCCCCAGCAGGTCCCGCAGCTCCGCGATGCACCGCCCCGCCGCAACCTCGGACAGCTGGTGGCCGCACCGCAGGTCCGCGAACGCAGGCGCGAGGAACGCCTCCAGGTGCCGCTTGAACTCCTTGGATCCGAGGTTGCGCGCGATCTGGGGGAGGGCCCTCCAGATCGTCTCGTGCATGTTGAAGGCGTGCTGGAAGGTGGAGAGGCGGGATAGATCTGCCAAGGTGGGCATGAACTCGGGGACCAGGGCCGGGCGGACTGCCGAGAGCTCCTTCAGGAGGTGGACTGCGCCATCAGACGCCTCCCAGGGCTGCTTGTCCCTGTGAGAGAGGTGAGGGGCACGGGGGAGGCAGGGGGCGGCGCAGCCAGGGTCAGCTGTTTGGCTGGGGTGGCGCAGCGGTTGTTGGCTGTTTGGCTGGGGTGGCGCAGTAAGTGTCGGCTGTTCAGAGTCCGTCCCGGTTGCAGCCGGGGGAGGGAGGGCTGGCAAGATCGAGCTGTCCCACCAACAGGACCGGCGCTCCCAGAGCGCCGAGCGCCCAAACTCGATGCTCCCTTGAGATCCACAAAACGCAACAACGTGCTCAACGACCCGCAAAGCCTCTGCGCGCCGGCAACCCCTGAACGTTTGCATCGAATCGTGCGCGGCGCGCCCCGTCGCTGGCGGGCGGCCGGCGCTGCCCACCGCGCGAATCCGTAGTCGTTGCAGCCGTCGCTCTTAACCAGGTGGCTCGTGCTGAACCGCGCCACCAGGCTGCCGCAGCTGAACATGTCCTGGCCGGTGTGGACCGCCGGGTCGTTGTCGCGCGCGCGGCGGGCGGCGACGCCGAAGGTGGTGGTGTTCTCGAGGCCGGAGTACTTTTGGGACTCGGGCCCCTGGCTGAACGCCTTTGGCAGCAGCTCCCTGCATTGGTTGAGAGGATTGGATCATCACAGGGTATGATGGGCGGAAGTGATTTAAAGAATACATGATAAGATATGATATGATATGTCATAAATTGGGCAGTTGCAATCGGGCATCAACCTGCAGGCAGTGTTGTCATCACAGACGTTTGGTTGCAACAGTTCCACCAGCCGGGGGTGCTGCTGTGCATCTGACGCCAGGCTGATCGGCGGGGCTGGCGGCCCGGCGACAGCTCAGCACGTCAGCGCAGGCCAGTCCGCCTGGCCACTCACACCCCCAGCACACCCGGCTGCCCAGCACCCCGACCACCACAAAGGCCCGGCTCACTTCAGCACCGCGACCACGAAGGCCGCCCCCTCGTCGCCGTACGCGCCCACCGCGCGGCCCAGCGCCGCGGCCGTGTCCTCGCGGACCGTGGGGATGTTGTCCCACACGTGGTCTGACCAGAGGGAAAACAGCTCCGGCAGCACGGGGCGCGCCTCCTGGGGGTATGCTGCCACGCACCTGGGGGAATCCAGTGGTATTGATGGGCTCAGGGACGAGGTCATGCATGCGTGTGTATATGCGCGTGTATGTATGCGATTGTGTAAATGCGTATGTGAGGGTGCGTACAGGGTGAGTGCATGGGGCGAGGGGCGTGTGCATGCGTGATTGTGTATGCGTGTGTGCATGTAGTTGTGCGTAGTGGGTGAATGTGATTGTGTGCAGAGGAAAAGCGCTGGTGCATCTGCACGGGCATGCGAGAGCATGTGGATCCACGTGTAGGGAGGGTGCAGGTGCAAGTTGCGGAGAGGGTGGTGGACGGGGAAACGCAGCTGGCCCTGGCACCTGGCAATCAATCACGCACGGTGTGTGCGGAGTGCCAGTGCTGGTTGAGCGGCCACAGCGAAGAGCGCGCCGCTCGCGGCGGTGGCGCCGCCCGCCACGTGTCGGGACGCAGCGGGTGGCACCTGGCGACCACCGCCGCTCTGCTGGGCGTGCAAGCGGCTGGGATGCCTCACTCATGCAACATGCTCAGAAACACAACATTGCGCCCCAAACGCATCATTTGGACCAAACGCATCGTCCTCCCTGAGATTCCCCGAACCCCCGCCTGCGCTGCGATGGGATGCAACGCCCACGCTGCCCCCCAACGCACCCCACCAAACCCGGCCACGCCCTGCCCGTTGGCAGGCAGCGGCCAGCCCAACCGCGCCCCGCCCTCCGCCCCTCGCCTCCGCCTCTCACCGTCCGCACGCCACGCACGCCGCGTCCCGCACCGGCCAGCTCATGTCCTTGAAGCACGTGATCAGCGCCCGCAGCAGCGCCGGCACGTGGGGCGCCACCGCCGCCTTGTCAACCTTCTCCATCAGCTCCGCCATGCAGGCGCACGCGGACTCCCGGACTGCATGGTTGTTGGCTTTGGACTGGGCTATGTAGTACGACACCTGCGGGGGGTTTATGGGCGGGTGGAAAGGGGGGCGCAGTAAGACTCAAGGCCGGCTCTGCAACGCTAAGGGGTAGCCCCCAGCAGCTCCTCCCCAGAATAACAGGCGGCCTTGTCCCACTTTGTCGTCAGGGACACGCACACGCCTCCGAGGCAGCGCCCCGACCAACAAAAACCCAGGTCCGCAATAAAATGGAACGGCGGGCGGGCCGAATTGGCAGTGCAATCGACGGCGTTGCGGTGCCTCACCACGTCGTCGATGTGCTGCGCCACCAGCCCGCGCCCCCTCTCTCCCACCACGCGCCGCCACGACTCCTGGGCGTACAGCCGCACGCCCTCGGCCACGTAGTATCGGTTGAGGCACATTGCCGGCAGCAGCGCGGGGTAGAAGGCAGACGCAGCCGCGGGCGGCAGGCGCGTCATGAACGCGCGCGCCGCGACGCAGGCGGCGTAGCGGACCTGCAGAGTGTGCGCGTGCGCAGCCAGGCGGATTCTGTCCGCCGCACCAAGGGCCCACGGAGCTGCATGGGGCTCGGTGGCTGCCGCCCGCTGACACCGCGCAATGCCTGCATTATAACGGGACACAGCAGTGTGCTGCCGTGCCTGTCTGCCTTCACCACCGCCACCCTGATCACCAGCGTTGTGCGCGGTCAGCGACCACGACCACCCCAAATCGCCCCCCACCTGGCTCCAGTTGTCGCTGAGGCCATCTGCAAGTCGCCCCGCCAGCCGCGGCCCCACAGTCTCCGCCAGCTCCTCCCCTGGCAGCGCCTCGCACAGCGACTTGAGCGTGAAGTGTGCCGTCTCCCGCACAAAGCGGTTGGGGTGGTACACCGCCCTGCGTCAACACAAGGGATAATGGTGGTGGGGGGAGGTTGGTTTGGTGGTTGCTCTGCAAGAGCGGGAAGAAACCTGGGGTGCCGTTGTGCTGAAGCACAGGCAAAAATGCGCCGCGGCTTTGAGGTCCAGCTGAGGTGTAGGCAGCCCGAGGTGTGGGCAGCCCGAGGTGTGGGAGCTTGTCGCCTGTGCTATATATCTCGCAACCGCGCCGCGAGCATGACTAAGCCACCTGTAGAGCAGCTCCCTCAGCTCCTCATCCAGCTCCGGCCTGACCCCCGGCCCAGCGCTGTCCATCATCGCCTGACGGTTGGCGGTTGGCGGCGGTTTGAGGAAGTTGCTCGACAGGCCCCAACAGAGCCAAGCAACACGTCACACGAGCGGCTCGTCTTTGATAGGAACGCCGCCGCGTAAAGGCAGCCATTTGCATGCCGCTCGCAGCCTCGGAATCCTCCTAAAAGTACCCCCCTCACCTGCAGCGCCCGCATGCTGGTCTCGAGGCACTTCCATCCCTCTGTGCCGTGCCGCATCACGCCCGTCCCGACCGGCGTGGGCCTGTAGCTCGCGGCCAGCAGCGCCCCCAGCAGGTCCGGGCTGCTGCCCGCCCTGCTGCCGGCGCGCGAAGCCATAGGGCTGTCGCCGCCGCCGAGGGCGACGCTGCTGCGCTGGCCGGCGGCGCTGCCGGCCGCGTCGGGGTCGCCGCCGTCGCCCGCGTGGTGGTTGTCCTCCTCCTCCTCGGGCCGGTCCTGGTTTGTCACATCACAGGATTAATGACATCATAACCCAATCCACTATCAGCTCAGAAATTGGGCCTGTCATCAGAACAATGACCACAAGACTGCAACTACCGCTGCAGCAGCAACGACTGGTGCCCAGCAAACTGTGGTATATCTGCGTCCCCCAGCTCACGCCCAGTGTGAGCCTGCAGTTTTGCGGCATTCTGAGAGCGCGCTGCGGGTGGAGCCAGCCCGCATCCCCAACCGCCCAGCCTGGCCCCGCCATCCCGAGCTCACGTAATGCTCCAGGATGCTGGTCAGCACGCGCCGCCGCGCCTCCCTGAACGCCGCCACGCCGCGCCGCCCGCACAGCGCGCCCAGCACGCCGCCGGCCGCCAGCCTCACGCGGACCTCCGGGTCCTCCAGCAGCCGCAGCGCCTCAGACTGCATCGCCGCATCAAAGCCGGCCGGCGGCTCCCGCACCCGCTCCAGCAGCAGCTGGAGGGGGCGCATGGATTGGCGTGGCGGGTGCGGGGCAGTTGAGTCATTCACAAGGTGCGAGAGGATAGGTGGGGGCGGCGGGCCGCATCCGCTTAGACCGGGACGAGAGGCGGGAGAGGCAGGGTGCGAGGAATCGCTGTTTGCCCGCAGCACAGACGACCTTCGCGGCGAGTGCTGCTGAAAACAACAGCTGCTTGATTGCGAACAGGCAAGGCGGCTGATGGGAACCCTACACACACCTTGGCTGCCAGCAGGCCGCCGAGCTTGCTTTCCCAACGGTCGCCTTGAAGCAGCTGCGCGATGCCCGCCGCCAGCGCAGCGACGTCGCTGGCGCCCTCTGGGCCTGCGCATGCCAGCCGAGCATGTATGCAAAAAGGGGTTCATCCTGACTTCAGGTGCAAAACAACAACAAAGGGGTGAGATGGCGGCATGCGCAGCGGCGCAGCAGAGCGGCTATGCATACCCTGCAACTGCTTGCTGGTGCTCGTGTGTTGCGGCGGCCAGCGCCACGCACCTGCTTTGAGTCCCTCTTCGATCGCGAGGAGCGCGTTCTCTCGGTCCAGGTGTCGGTGCGCTGACAGGCCTGCCAACACCGCCTCGACCTGCCCGGGGGCTCCCATGGTTCTCCACTTTCGGCACAGATCACTATGAGTTGGTTTCGTGGAGGTAGGATCTTGAATACAACCAGCAAAGTCTTGTGGCACAGCTGGTTTTGTTGTGAGCACCGTTCACAGCTACGGGAGTGTCACTTGCAGTGATCATCCACATTGTTTTGTGCCGCTCGATTGTTGTGCGCTGCTTGTGCGACGTTGCAAGCACACAAGAAGTTTTGACATCAGGCTTTCCCTTCAAAGCTTGTAACACGCTCTGGTGCCCCACCACCCCGACGTGCCGCAGCTTGCCCTCGCCTTACGGCCGCATCTCAGCATTTAAAGGACACTGTAAAGTCCCTTAGCCTGAGTCACCCCTGCTCAGGGGCGGTACTGCAGCCAGATCGCAATGGTGGACTTGGATAAATGGATAGAGAAGGTCAAGCGCTGCGAGTACCTAGCAGAGGACGAGCTGAAGGCGCTGTGCGAATATGTGAGGAGTCAGGGCTGCAGCCGGCGCAGCGTGGCATGCATACCGCGAATGTCGTGCGCCGCTGCTGCCCAGTTCACCAGCTCCCTCCCTCGAGTTTCATCATCATGGGGCACTCTGGGGCGCCAAACCATTCCACAGGTCAAGGAGATCCTGGTTGAGGAGTCCAACGTGCAGCCAGTGCAGGCCCCTGTCACGGTGTGACCAACCATGCAGCGCGTGCCCAACAGCGTATGCTGGTGCCGGCGCAGGCGTTTGTAGCTTCGCGGCGTGCTCACGGATTTGCAGCCAGCAAGGGGTTACTTTGGTATCACAGATAGCCACTCGTATGGCTCAGCCCTGCCAGCTGCTGGCCGTTGAACGTGGTTTTTTGGGGGGATGCCATGCGAGTTGAATTGCGCGTCAGAGCAGCTGGAGCGTGGGGCGCCAGCTGCTGTGGTGCTCCTGCGAGGGCGAACCTGGACGCAGCAGCGTGACAAGCACATCTCCAATGGCGGCGAACCCTTGCAGGTGTGCGGCGACATCCATGGGCAATTCCATGACCTGCTGCGGCTATTTGACACGGGCGGGCAGGTGCCAGACACATCATACATCTTCATGGGCGACTTTGTGGACCGAGGGTACAACAGCCTCGAGGTGCGTGCTCGCGTGCATGGTATTTTTGTTTGTGACTGCGCGCGCGCGCGTGTGTGTGTGTGTGTAATTGTGTGTTCATGTGGTCGTGTGCGTGTGTATGTGTGCGTGCGGGTGCGTATTGATGGGAGTGCGGGTGCGCTTGTCAGCTTGCAGCACCCCGTGTAGGTTTTCTTTTGTGGTGGCGTTGTGGCCCCCTGCAAGGCGATGGATGGTGGGGCTGGGAGGGTGCAGGAGGGAGTTTGGTGAGGGCCGGCCCGCTCCAACGCGCAGCGGTTGAGGAGGCGCCAGTGACACGCTGCGCAGCCAGGGAGTGCGAGCGAGCCCTTGCTGCCCTGCTGCGCCGCCCGGCAGGTGTTCACGCTGCTGCTGCTGCTCAAGGCGCGGTGGCCGGCGAACATGACGCTGCTGCGGGGCAACCACGAGAGCCGGCAGATTACACAGGTGTGCAGCGCTGGGCGGGGCAGCGCATCCTGGCGCTCGAGCTGGGGCAACTGCAGCGGTCTTTATAGGAAATCGGGAACAGCAGGCACAGCAGCAGTAGCAGCAGTAGCAGCCACAGCAGCAGCAGCAGCAGCAGCAGCAGCAGCAGCAGCAGCAGCAGCAGCAGCAGCAGGGCGCGTGGCGTCCTGGCCTGTTGCACACGAGGTCCAGAAGCCAAAGCAGCAGACTGCTTCACCGCCTCGAGCCTGAATGCAGGAGCTCGCCCCTGCGGCCGTGCTGTCGCCGCCCTCAGGTGTATGGCTTCTACGACGAGTGCCAACGGAAGTATGGCAACGCAAACAGCTGGCGCTATTGCACAGAAGTGTTTGACTACCTCACGGTCTCGGTGGGGTTAATCTCAGCCTGACCCCTGGGATTCTTGACAGCCTTGCAGGGCATGGGCGCACTCGTGTCCAGGCATTGCAATGGTGCAGGTTCAGGCCGTCACCAGGCGGCCACGATGTGCTCTATCATCGCGCTTTGATGCGCCCGCGACGCCCCACCCCACACCGCCCCTGCAACCTCGTCGTGTGCCCGCCACCCCCAGGCTCTGATTGACGGCAAGGTGCTGTGCGTCCACGGCGGCCTCTCGCCAGACATCCGGACGCTGGACCAGGTGCGCCCGCGTCCAGGTCTTCCAGGGCCCTTCTCACAATTTCAAGTTCTTTTCTTTCGCCCAACAAACAAGTTTTGAGCCTGTCATGCACTCTGATGCCAGGGCGTCAACCTCCCATCACTGGCCCCCCTCCCACCACCACACACCCTCCCGACCTTCCACACACCACCACCGCCACCATCACCACCATCGCCCCCAATTCTGTGGCCCACAGGTGCGGGTGATCGACCGCGTGTGTGAGATCCCACACGAGGGGCCCTTCTGCGACCTCATGTGGAGCGACCCTGAAGACATAGAGACGTGGGCCGTCAGCCCACGCGGCGCGGGGTGGCTCTTTGGCCGCAAGGTCACGGGGGAGTTCAACCAGATCAACGGTGGGCGCTAGGGGGCAGAGGGGTGGGGGTACCTGGAGCCGCGTTTCTGGGTCACTGGCACGGGGCAGTTTGAGAGCGCGCCTCTTCTGCGGTAGTTTGGAAAAGCGAAAGGCGCCTGCACGGCACGAACCCAGGGCGCGTCTTGCTCCATGGGTGATCGCACGAGGCGCTGGCCGCCTGCAATTGGCGCTTGGGGTTTCGAAGTCGAGGCTCCAACCTCGCCGGGCACGATGTCATCACGAACCAACTTTGTGCGACACTCACAGCACCCCCG